CACAACTGTATCTGATAGCTTATGTTTAATCGTCAAAAAGAATCGGAAGATGCTCACGCTGATAACTGATATTTACTCCACAGGTGTGGAACTACTGATTGAAACGTGGACACCTTAATTATGTGTTGGTGTGCTCATTTTAATGTGGAAAGAAGTTGTAATTCTGTAGAACAGCAGTGGACTCACTTTAGTATGACTTGGCTAGACATATAAAATTAGCATATCAATGGAATTGCACCCAGTAAAAGGAACTGTAGAACAAGGAAGTGGCTGACTCTCAAGATTCCTGCTGAAATTGTTGTCTGCCATCTATAAAGTTGGTTTTAATTGTCATGTCCAGAGGAAAGTTCTTTGAATTGAGACAAAGAATACAAAACCAACAAAATGTGACGAGGAGGAAAGGCATTTCCTTAAATAAAATCACATACAGTATAGGCATGACTTGGTTGACTCGTGGTTTAACAAGACTTTGAGGAGAATGCCTGGAATTCATGACATGGAGTTTCATTAAAATTGTACCTTTCCTAAAATGTAGTGGAGGGGGAGATCGTTTATTGTAAGGGGGTTATAGAAGTGGCAGCACATTTGTTAGATTTCCTGGACTGTATAGTTCAGTCCTTTGCTGCATATATGTTATGAATTACTTGTCTAAAAACAAAATGATACCTAAATGGGATCACTTTAGAGGCATTTTTCTACTGTAGATCTCATTATTTCCTTCCAATTACATAATCAAGGTGATCCATCTACAATAAACAATGCTTACTACTATTAAATGTAGCAGTGAAAATAGCTGCTCCATTCAGGGAAAAAAATTGAATCCATTAGCTCCTGCTGTGAAGATTAACTTTCACGTACAGCTTACAAAATTGCAGTCCCAGATAATGACTTCTGAGTGTAAGAGGGATTAAGTCTGCCATACAGTGCACCATGTTATGAGGCTGTACTACTGTAAACATTACCAACACTCCAGTAATATATTGAAACAGCTTCTATTAAATTGAATAAGAGATCACAGTTCACAGTGCAGTGATTTCCTTGTGTTTTTTTTTGTGATTTCTGGAGAGATATAAAATATATCTGGATTGGAATTGAACATCTAACTCACGCAATGTAATCACTGCTACATGAACCCCTAAACAGGATTCCTAATACTACACCAACAAGAACAGCAACAATTATAATACACATGTGCAACAGAACGTGTTTGTATAATCTATTAAAATACACATTATATAACATAAAGGCTCTTTAGAGTCACCTTTGTTGTTTCTCAGAGGATGAGCTTTCAAAACAAAGACCATTGTGTATAAGAAACAGCTTTACCATTGATAAGTGTTCTTTTTATTTTGGCCCTAAAATACAAGGTACATTAACTTATACAATACTTAGTGTTTTTTAAGGAAGAGCAATAATGTTCTACATACCGTCTATCATAATTCTCTGACAAGGGGCAAATAATTGGACCATTGACTGTTGTCAAATATAGATTTCAACTTTTAAATCAAAGCTTCTGAATATACCTGCTTCCCCTATTGCTTAGCAGGATCCTATTTCATACTATGTTTTCTCTCTTGTGTATATTGCATTAAGCTAGATTTTGGGTCTTAACATGTTGACTACACCAATTATAGTACACTTCTGCACTTATTTCTAGCATACTTTGTATGAATGGTGTATTGGGTATCAATATTAAAATCAGTCTGCACAAGCTGAATATGATCTTGACATGACTAAGAGCACTATCACAACATTAATTTAACCATGCAGGCAACAGTGCTGATATAACTTACAAATAAATGCAATACAAGCAATACTCAAATAACAATGGCACTGCAATAAATGTGTACGCGAAAAATGTCTGGCAGTTAATTGTTAGCATGTCTATCCTTCTTGTAAAGTGTGTACATTTACTGTGTACGTGTATCAACTGTATACAGGGATGTTGAAAATGATGGGGTAACCTGATCGTTATTGTCACGCCCAGTATACCTAGAGGGTGCTCTGCTTCTGTCCTGTTCCTAGTTCCCTGTGATTATTCATGTCTTTGTGGTGTGTCTTGTTGTGTAGCCTATTTACTTCCTGCTTCTGCTCTGCTACTGGCTCAGCTTTGAGGTTCGGATGTCCTGAAACCCGCCTAGTACCAGGTCACCCCACATCCGCTACATGAGGGCATAGGTTTCTATACGGCATTCCCTGAACAGCTGAGCCCGGGCTAACCCCCGTCTTGCCGCTACGCATAGGGTCTTTTTTGCTCTCTTGCCATTCCACGGTTCGTCCCTTCGTGACAGTTATGCCTCATCAAGTACCTCTTCCCAATATTTCTGAACATTGGTATATATCCAATAAAAAAAAGTCAAAGTGTTTTTACAGTATTCTTCAATTCCTTAGTCTAGACATTTATTTTCCCTAAACAACCAGATCAATAAATATTGACAATCTACTGAACCCAGGAGGATGAGGTTGATTCAGTGTGTTCTCTGTTCAGATTTACTCAGTGACTATTGTAGTTCTGCAGGTAGCTGATACCTCAACAGTGTTCCACTCCACAGGACTTTCCTGTAATGGAGAATTTATAACCATCTTTTCATTTTGAGTGTGTCAGTGTGGTGTCCTACCCACTTCACAGGTTAGAGACTGGTATTATCTGTGTTGTTTTGTTCTTGTATGTACAAGTACAGCTCAAAAACCGTTGTATTGGCTCAGAAATCCAGCTTTGATAGTCCAACAAATAGCACAGAGTCTTTTATATGAGAAAGCTAGGGATGTGTCTATGTGATGCCCAATGGGCTGAAGTCAGAGCAGGATAATTTTACAAAAACAGGTTAATAGAGAAGAATCCATCAGGACTTTGGTCCACCTAATTAATGCAACCATTATCCCAATCAAGCTGCAGCGGGAGGCTGTGAAAACAGCATGTAGATGACACTGTCTTGCATTAGCTGCCTTTAAGGAACTCCTGCCTTGTTTTAACAGGACTTGTACCTGTCCCCTTTTCTCAAGCATGTAGCTGACATTCTCCTTTTCTGCTTTTAATTGCACCCCTGGGACACAGTAAGGTAGATAGGGGAGTGCACATCACAGTGTCTGCAACAGGAGAGTTCACTGTGTTGCATAGCTTATCTCTTCCTACTGCCATTTGTGTCACAGGTTTTCCTCATCTCTGCTTGTCAGATCCACACTTGCATAGAAGTCCCTTTGTCCCAAATGAATATAAAAGCTTCTAGTATCTCAAATTTCAAAGTATTGTTTCACTCACCACGTTTGGTAATGCATATTTTAAAGAGTGAATGTGACAGTGCTTTCAAAAATGTTTCGAAGGCATTTCATACACTGTTTGATCAGTGTTATAAGCTAATGATTCTTGAGAGTTAAACAAGTATTGTATTCTTAACATTTCTCTTTAGGTAAAATATTGTATTGATCTTTTCTTTTTTGCTTTCACTAGGAAGAACTAAAACTCTAAATCTAACATTGATTTTCCTTTACATTTGTCATCACTATCTTAAGCAGGGTAAATAGGCAGAGCTGTTTCATTTCATATAAATTTAGCATTCTTGAGCCTAATATTTTCTTCTTTTTCAAAAAGCTTGCAAAAGAAACCCTAAATGTTACATGACAAGCAATTTAAGCCTTAAACACTGGGGATGTTGTACTGTGAAACTAAGTGATGTTGGGGCAACAGTATGAAATAGTGGATTAAATATTCTAGACTTATAATTAGAAGGAGATTTGGGGTACAAATTATCTCAGTCTACTACAAGTATTATTTTAGCTTTGAGCAAAGTATGTCACCCTATTAAAATGCTCTGCTTTGTAAATGAGTAATCCCTAGTAATCACAAGACCATAAGCACGGTACTAACAATCAACCCATCAAGTTCTTTTTGTTTTAAGTAACTAATTGATCTGAGGATGTCCTCCAGCTTTTCTTTTGTACTTGACAACATGGCCAAGAGGCTCAGTTCAGGCTCGTAAAACATTTTGGGAGACATTTTGGGAAAAGTAGTGCCTCTTATTTTCAGTTTTAAATGCCTCTCAATTATCTGGGTAAATAAAATTAAGGCCCTGATGTACATGATCTGAACATTCAGTACTGTACAGATTCTTGTTTACTACCCAGTCCTGGTCCTGTAAAGACTATAAAGAAGAAACAAGACATTTTGTAGCAGTAACAGTGTCTATGCTTCATGACATTTGATATAACATAACAGCTTTAGATTCAGTTGACTTATTGCTGCAGGACTCTGTCAAGGGATTACTGGGTCACAGAGCTAAAGAAAATGGCTTCCAGGCCATGACAAATATGGTCAAGGAGCTACCTCTCCAGTGGGAACAGGGCCCTATATTTGCTAAGACATTAGCTTCCATAGTGACATGAAAAATATCCCCGAAAACGATAGGCTACCTGAGTTTCAAACTTGAAGAATTTGAAACTGCTACAGAACCCTCAGGGATTCCGTGGTATTTACAGCCTTACACAATCTTGATGGAAATCAATACATTTCAATTTTTCCATTTTCACCGTCTTACATTAAACAGATTTATAAGACACAAAGAAATGGAAGCCTTTTTATTAAAAAGCACAGCAACTTTTAACCTTTAATTAAAGCCTTTTTACGTACAGCAGCCTATTTAATACGACAAGCAAGATGTAGGATATTCAGCCTTGAGTTTTCACAGTCCTGAATTGAAATGCTAACTTTATTAAACAGTCAGAACACATACAAAACACCACCAAGCACACATACAGTACATACAGCATTTTACTCTCCAATAAATAATCAATGTTTTATCATCGAAGGAATTACATTTATTAACTAGCAAAGATAAATTTCTGGGTTGTCAGATGATGCTGGAGTGTGAACAAGTGAAGAAATAATTGTTTTTAGATTTTAAAAAATGCTGTTTTAGATTGGATTTTTCATTGAGGTTTATATGAGATTACTTGCTGGATTATACCCACTGCGTTATTGTAACCTTCAAAATTCTTTGTTACAGGTCATCTGGGAAAGGATGGTTGAAACAGACTGAAGACTACATGGTTGAACTAATTTCCTTGACTGAAGACGTGTCTAGATAGAAATTGGATTCTAATAAACTGGATGCAATGAGAACTTGCTTATTTTTAGTGCTTTGGGTTTGCCTGTCCCATCTAGGTGATGCAAAAGTCTTTATTAAAAGGACTACAGGGGACGGGGTTGCACTAAGGCGTTCAAAACGAGGATGGATGTGGAATCAATTCTTCTTACTTGAAGAATACACAGGAACTGACTATCAATATGTTGGCAAGGTATGCTGTTGTTTTCTTTCTGCTTATAGAGTTCGTCAGACAAAACAAACTACTTAAATAATGCAGCCAAGTCCTTTTTGAGTCTGGTAAACAAACATTCATGGAGTAAACATTGTAGCATGTAACACTGAATTTTGGAAATTCACAAGGATAAAACAATTTCACTGTGCTCTAATTTACATGTTTTTGACTTTCTGTGGCTCTGTTTTGTGTTATTAATAAAAATATGAATACACCTACCAATAGTTGCCCCTCAGGGTAGTTTATATCCTAGGTCAACTGATACCTGTAGAATTTTAATATTGCCTAAATGAAGCAGCACTTTTCATGTTAGGAACAGACTATTAAAGCAACTTAATTTTTTCATAGTTTTATTTTTGAATATTTACAGTTTATTTAAAATAGATCATAATACTCTCCAGTAAGTTCAATATTAAAATGAAAATGTCAGTGTTATGAATGGTTCAGTCATTTGGATTTGATGAATCTGTCTCATAAGCATTCCAACTCACTGCAGGCCATTTGGCTGCTATCAAACATGTCCCAGTCCTTAATGTCTGGAGGCTCTTAGTAAGCTGTGTGCTACATAGCTACCTAGGGCAAAGTATATTTTATAATAACAAGCACAGCACTAGGCTGTATATAATATGCAAACTATTAATGGTTAAATGAAACCATGAATATGAAAAAAATGCTCTTTTTAGACAAGGGTAAGAAATACATATGTGAAGCTGTTAAATAGATCTGTGTGTTGGGGTTTCTAATTAAATATGTCATTTTTAGTTCATTTAGCTAATGTGTTTAACTAACACATTAGCTTTTATTTTTCAAGGCATTGTATTTGTCAACACTGACTTTGGCCCTTGACTCTGCTATGAAATGTGAATTCAACCACATTTTATTAAACAGGGATTGTCTACTTTGTTGTCGGTTTTGGTTGACTTTTTAGAGTTTCTTAAAAGCCTTACAAAGTTGTCGAACACAAGATGAAAAAAAAAATCAAAGATCAAAAATCACCGCTAAGAATAAATAGGCATTTCATCTTTGGGCTGTCTCTTATTCTTCTACATGAAAGACTTTCAAGAGTGAATTTTGTAAAGTGGCTTCTAATGTAAGGATGTAGTTAGTGTCGTGAGCATTCTGCTTTCCTAAAACAATTTTTTTTTAAGGAAAATTATGATCAGAGAGCCAAGAGCCAAGAGCTCCAAAGGGTCACTTTAGTTGTTTAGCAGTTTTTCTGGAGACTTTTGCTATTTTTTGAACATACTGTACATAAAAGACACAGACAAATAATTGAATACTAACTTCCTCTGCCAGGGTAGGAACTGCAGTTCACTTTTGAGATATTTAAGTTGCTTTTACACTCACATATTTTTCCAGCAAACCTAAGAGACAGACCACCTGCAAATACAAACTAGAAAATGTAGTTTCTACTGATATCATAAAGACACTTAACTAAAAAATACTAATCTTAACCGGTAATTATTTTATTAGATTGTCTGTAGGTTAATTGATACAGACATGTCTGAGAAATATATATAATAAACACTTCAGAATGCTCCCTTCTGAAGTAAACGGTTGTTTATATAAAGCATAATGAACATTACTGAAAGTTCAACTTACTGAAAACTAAAGATGCAATAATTGTAATTTTTCTCAACGAGCAAGAAAACAGCAGCACAACATTTTACTTTAAAATCACTGATATTGCTTCTGTGCAATATCAGATGCCAAGAAGACACGTAGAATAATATGGTCAGGATTTCCTCAGGTTGGATTCTTCAGGCAAGCTTACTGCACTCAAATATCATAATTAAAGCAAGTCATCTTATTTTGCTAGTGGCCTCCATGTACTCAAATTTACATTTTTTTTGTGAATACAGAAAACAAGTCATACAGTATAAATCAATTTAACCTTTTTAGGTACACATGCAGGTAGATGTTTGTATATTATCAATAGATCGTTTTGTAATGTTCTTCCCTCTAGCAGAAAGCAGAAGATATATTTTGGCACTTGAACTAAATCAGACAAGAGCAGTTTATGAAAATTGGGAAGAAATTTATTAACTTCAGTATGTTCTTCATACAGTAGATTTGGGCAACTGATTCTTTGTTAACAGACTGAAAGAGAGAGGTTGCTATGGAAATCTCCAAACAAGGAGCTCAAATTCAGTGATTGCGTGAATCTGCTATAGCACTTCAGAAAGAATTGTATTGTTTGAGGAAAAAAAAGCTCATGTTTACAATAATGGAGTGCAGACAGACATAAACAGGTGCAGAAGAAAAGCAACAATGTAAGCAATAGCATCTGACAGACACTGGAAAATAACAAAAAAAAAAAAAGATAGGTCACTTGTCAGTTCAAGGCTAATTGTTTCATAATGAGTAACTATATATCATCAACTTGATATAGACATAAATTCAACTTCAAATCTCACTGTATAAAAGGAAGCCATAAAAACACTACTTTGAAGTGTACAGTACAGTGTGATGGGCTAATGTACTGCTAACCAAAATGTACATTTATAGAGTAGATACAAAGTCAAGGTAGAGACATCACAGCAATGAGGAGTAGTGTTACGGACAGGTAGAGCAATATTTAAACATTTAGGCATCTAAAGGAAACTCTGCTGAAACAAGACAACAAGAGAATGTCCAAAAGTTTGGTATTGCACACAGTAAACCATGGAAATGGTAATGTGAAAGTTAATAAATGTTTTCACAGTGCATTGTAAATTATATTGGAAACAACATGTTTTAAGGCAACAATATAATCACATTCTTCAAAATCATGAAGTACTCTCAGAAAAGTGAAGTCCTTGTGATTCATGGTGTGGGATAAAAATGCCTTTCTGCAGCTGTGACTTCAAACAATGGGAAATACTGTGATGAGAAATGACTGGTACAGAATGCTACACAAATATAACCTTGTGTTATATTGCGAAGAAAATTATCTTTTCTTCTGCTCAATTTAATCAAATTTCCTTGTGAAAATGTATTTAATGTGAAATACTAGCTTGTGTTTCAGTAGAATTTCCAGGTACCGCATTATTTCAGTTGCTACCATAAGTAAATACTGTATAAATGGGGCCTATGGTGTCATTGGGGTTTTCAATTTCGATTGAGGCTAATTTGGTGGTGCTTTTTTTAGGCCTTGTAATAGACGTTACGGATGTTTGTTGTTTTGGATTTGATAGTTATTTGTCATTTTTAATTTTGATTTTTAATTTTTTTACTCTTTATTTTCAATTGATTTTTTTTTCTATGTGAATTTTGTATTTAAGATTTCGTTCTTTGCAATGTTTTTTTTTCTAATGTGAAAAGGTGCAGCTGTGAAAGTATTGAGAACCTAAGTATGCAGGCAGTTGTATTTACTGAGTTATTCAAAATAGTTCACAGGGATCTTTCATAGTTAGGCATACATCTAATTACGTATTCGGTTTAATGTATTTTCACAAACCGAAAAAAGTCAGAATGTGAACATCAGCAGCCATTAGGTTTTTAATCTCTGGAGCTTTTGATTATATGACTCAATTTTCAATTAACACAGGACCCCTTGGAGAGATGAACACCTGGGGACTCTTTTATGTTCCAATTAGCAGTTGCTCACCTTGGCAGCCATTTAATATTGCATGACTCCTATATATTCATCATCTCTTATGGCTGCTTTAATATTAGCGTAGAGATTTACAGGGACACTACATATATCAAAATTATTTACTAAACTGCTGTATGTAGTCATAGGAAAGTTTGCCAAGAATAAAGATATTTTTCTCATGTATTTCCTGTGGTGGGTATTCTGCTAATGCTGTAAAATGCAGTAAACAACACAATTTTGGAGACTGAATGTAAAGTCCTCAGTTTCAGGAACACATACAAGCATAATTCTGAACTATTAAAGCATGATTTACAGTATGCGGGGATAAGGACAGATAAGACATAGATTCAGCATTTGTATCCTTTGTAGGTTTTCTGTGATAACACATCACCCATTTTGAAAAGAAAACCACAATTCTGTGATGGGTTTGTGTTGGCAATGTGAAATTATGGCATGATATTGACAAACTCAGTCTTGTTAGTTAAAATTAACATCCAGATAATGCCATACCTTTGTCAAGTGTCTAGCTTGAACCTTAACAAAGACCAGAGTATTGCTGATGTCATCAACACCATTCTCTGCCTCAAAATCCAAAGATTGCAGTTTCTCACAGATTGTGCTGAGATGTAGATTCCTGTATCCTGCTGCATTTGTTGTCCAATTTGTCTTCTGTTGTACCTTGTGTTACACGGTGCACGAGTGATGAGGAAAAGGATATAAGATATCCACTACAAAGGCGAACTAGCTACATTTCTGATTCATAGATGATTGATTGAGAAACATTCTGTTGTACAGCTCTGTGCTTGGATCTATAATCATTCCAATGTTTGCTTTGAAATTGTATGTATACCTGATAACTGAAAGTTTTTCTTGTACATGTTCTTTAATGCCATCTTAAATGCATTTTGGAATGTTTATTGAGGAGTTACGTATGAAATGTCTCGGCTTAACCCACTTGGCTGAGGGCCAGCCATCTAACTGGACGATGAGGACATGAGAACACCCATATAAGAGAGAAATGTTAACCAAGGGGAAGCTGTAAAGGTAGGATGGGGTAGAGGAGTGATGGAAAAGAATGATGTGAACAAGAAAGAGGGGCGTTCTTTTGTAGTTTTTTTTTTCTCTGTGAAGTGACATCTTGGAGAATTCCAAATTACAGGTGAGATAGATTTTGGTTGCTTTGGTTGCGGTCACCCCTTTTGAATTTCATTTAAAACTCCAATTAGCCTTTAGCTTTATGCTGAACATAAAAAAAGGTACTACCTTTTTTTCTCATTCAACTCTTATCAAATGAAAAATCTAATTATTAAGGTATCTCTGCTTTTGTTCCACACTTTCATGTGGTACTGTTCATATCGTTCTAAATATCGTCTTTTGAAATCCAATATTCCCCGATTATGGTGTGCAGTGTAACAGTGACATGCCATGAATAAATGTCCGTCCCTGAGAATAATCTAGGATTTTTCTTTCTAGCTCCTTGAACATATACGATATGTAGTAAAGCAAGCTTCCTCATGCAGAAGGCTATAGGGAAATAATGGATTTTGAAAAGCGGAGCACAGCTGATCATTGAGAAATTGGTAGAAACCAGTGGGAAGACTGCAGATTAGAAACTCTGCAGATACTGTACCAAGTGATATCAGTAAATTAGTGAATGCTCACTGGAGAAGAAAAAAGACATCTATTCATGATTGTCCTGAATGGCCAGTAAGACAAGAATGAAGCTTTATACTGTGAAGAGGAGTATGGAAATAGAGGTCTGACAAACAGCAAACCCAGCAGAACACAAACAAGTGCCTACTAGACATATCAAGTAATATCTGGATAGTACAATACATAATGGGACAGTGATAGGATGCAAATCACATCCTATTTTTTAATTACTGTATGCCTTTCATTAGAGATTAAACTTCATAGAGACTTTGTATGTGAGTGTAGCATCATTCATCACAGAACTTTTTTGTTGAACGTTCCGGAAAACAAGAAAAATATTGTTTTTGCCTGCCATGACAGGAAGTAGTGGTTAGAGTTGGTCTGTATCGAAACAGTAGCTTCTGTCCATAACGTCAAGATTCTTTAAGAATTACTTCTTCTTGCCTGAGAAGTGGAGTTGTTACTTCAGCTGTCAGCCAGAAATACCCAGACAACATAATTGCACTGAATTCAAGTAACATTTATATACAGTATGGCTATACAGTATCAGGACTATAGGTAAGAAGTGTAAAACAGTGGCTAAAGTTAAGGACTCATTATATGGTGCTGAATTTAAATGTCCTAAGAGGGGACACTGGTGCCGTACATTCTAGCTGAGTATTTTACCTAGATTTCTTCAGCAAATCCAAACTGCTAGAAGCGATATCACCCTGCAACTCACAACTGGCAAGTGACTGAAGCTCAGCAGGTGTGAGCCTGGTCAGTACCTGGATGGGAGACCTCCTAGGAAAAACAAAAGTTGCTTCTGGAATAGGTGTTACTGGGGCCAGTAGGGGGCACTCACTCCACGGCCTGTGTGGGTCCTATTGCCCCAGTACAGTGACAGGGACACTATAGTGTAAAAGGGTGCTGTCCTTTGAATGAGACATAAAATCGAGGTCCTGACTCCCTGTCGTCATTAAAAATCCCAAGGTGTTTCTCAAAAAGAGAAGCTGTGTTACCCCGGAGTCCTAGTCAAATTTTCCATTAGCCTTTACCAATCATGGCCCCCTAATAATCCCCATCTCTGAATTAGCTTCATCACTCTGCTCTCCTCCCCACTCGCAACTGGTGTGTGGTGTCTGTACTAGGGCAGGCTGAGTGCTGTTGCATCATCCAGGTGGATGCTGTACATTGGTGGTGGAGGGGAGTCCCCATTACCTGTAAAACACTGAGTGGAGTGTCCAGAAAAGCGCTACATAAGTGTAAAGAATTATTATTATTAAATCCATTTGTGCAACTTGGTATCAGAATATACTGTATACATTAGATTAATTCTAGGTAATTATAACCTGCAAATTGTGTTGGAAAAAAATCATAAGTCAAATAAATTAATAATCTCAAACACTAGTGAAGGAGTCTCCCAAATGAGTCTCTCTGAAGAAATAATTTTCTAGATATTTTCTTTTCATAATCAGAGGATACATTTGTGTCTCATTAAAAAAAAATGTATGTCTTCAAAAAAAATACAGAAAAGGTTTACTTTATAAAAACGGGTATGTTTTTAAATTAATGCAAATCATTTAATCACCCAAGCGTTTCACTGTGCTGTTGCTGCTTTTCCTGATAGTACCTTGATGTTTTGTAAAGCTTTTCATAACAAAGGTTCCCAAAGGACTTTCTAGGCAGAATGAGATTCTCCACCACACAGGAGAACTCTCTATAGTGACATTCAACGGTCATTTTGCAACAACAGCTCACAATACAGACAATTAAGAGGGGACAAAAGTAACTGCTCAACCCATCAGACTAGAGGTGGAATTGGGCAGTGCAGTGGTATTATGGTTAGCATTATTGCCTAACAGCTCAGGGATCTGATTTCAGCTCTGGGAGCTTTTCTGTGACACATTTCTATGTTCTCTTTTTTTCCTCTGCTTTTCTCCCACCTCTAAAAGACATGCAAGTTAAGTATTCTAAATTGTCATTTTCCAGGGGTTATTTTCAGATTATTTATTGCTATGGGGGTGTGTTCCCAGTAGTTGTTATGGGACTATAGAGAAATATAATCAGACTTAGATTTTGGTCATTCTGGATTTCATGTAGAGAAATATAAAGAAAACTGAACCTGGAATTTGTCCACGACAGCTTTCTAATTAGATCTATCTAGCTCTCTTTCTTTGACACAAGTTTAAAAATCACAAATAATTGTGCATATGCTAAAAAATGTTGCAGAGAGAAGAATGTAACTACTATATGAAACCATGAACATCTTGCTTCTGGTTTAACTTTAGACTCAGAAGTACACATTGAATCTCGTTTTAACAATAAAACCAAGTAGAAATGAAAAACGAAACCAAGATCCAGTACTTGTTTAGTCTGCTTCCCCATATATAAAGAAAGTTTTAAAGAACTCTATCTCCACTTAGGACTGCACAGAGGTGCAGTGTTTAGCATTGGTGCCTCACAGCATTGGGGCCCTGAGTTCAATTCCTGGGGTGCTATCTGTGTGAAGTTTGGTCTGTGTTTGCATAGGTTTCCCCCGAGTGCTCCTTTTTCTTCCCATTTTCCAAAGACATGCTGGTAGATTCTTAAATTGTTAAAACTTCTGTAAATTGGCCCTGGTGTGGGTGTCTGATACATTCCAGGGTGTATCCCTTCTTGCGCCCAGTGCCTTCTGGGATATGCTCTGAGTCACCATGACCCTGAATTGGAAAAGCAGTTATTGAATGTGATGTGATGATATATCCCCATTTGTCAAGATGTAGAGAGTGTGATGGATAGAGTTCCCAGTATATTCTTGCATTTAGAAGACTTATTTTAAGATTTCTTTAATTAAATTTAATTGTTATCTTTCACCTTATACCATATACCAATATACCATATATTGTTGGGTTTCATTTCACTCCAGATACAGGGAGTGATTATAGCCTAATACAGCTATAATCAAAAGTGCTGACAGTGCTGCAAGGAAAACAATTGATTTTGATGAGATCTCAGAAGTACAGATTTATTGTAATCTCTGTACCTCTTAAACTGTAAGAGGTAAATAACCTGTCCTTTGCTTAAGAAATGTTCAATGTTAAGAGCACAACTGAAAAAATTGTATTTTGTGTCTTTTGTTTACGGGTTATTACTTATATCAGTATAAGCGCACATTGAGGAAACCACAATGAAAAATGAAGGGAAAGTACAGTGGCATAATATTTGACCTTTGGATCAATAGTTTGCAAGGAGGGAACATTGAATTGGAAAACTGACACAACTGTGTATAAACTAAATTAGATGGTAAGCTGTAAATATTTACTGTAGAAAAATTGTTTTTATACCAACCTGGATAAGACGTTTTTACAATGCCTGAAGAAACTGCTTGTCTACGTTTTAACGTAAAAATTGGCTGGGAACTGAAATTCGTCTCTGTTTTTTTTTATCAGCTTCATTCAGACCAAGACAAAGGAGATGGAAGTCTGAAGTATATCCTCTCTGGAGATGGAGCGGGCAGTTTGTTTCTTATTGATGAAAACTCTGGTGATATCCATGCTACTAAGAGGCTTGACAGAGAAGAAAAGGCCTACTACGCACTCCGGGCTCAGGCTGTGAACAAGAAGACAGGCCGTCCAGTGGAGCCAGAATCAGAATTCATCATTAAAATTCATGACATTAATGATAATGAGCCAAAGTTTACAAAGGAAATTTATACAGCCAGTGTCCCAGAAATGTCATATGTTGGTAAGTTCATAGAATTCAAGATTGATTTCAGAGATAGTTATGTATTAATTAAAGGGAGACCAGTTAACAGAGAAAGTGAAATTCGTTTTGCAGACATAAATCTTAAGTCTACCGGTTGATAAAATGCAACCAGTTCATCTGTTGATCTGAATAATACTTCAGTTTTGGAAAATCTACTTAAATAAACTTAACTGCTATAGAAATGAAACATAACTCTTGCAAATTACAAAAAGTTAAGAGATATAATGTGAGCATCTTGTCAGAAAAGCTTCTCAATTATTGAAGCACTCCTTTAAGCATGCTCATTTATATGCATTAGATTTCAGCAAAACTCCAAAATAATTAGTAATCTCAGGAAAACACAAATTTCCATGTCATTTGTAAATGTAAAACAGCTCCTGAGCAGAAAAGGGCATCATTTTGTTAAAACAAGTCCTTTGTGACAGAAATGTCACTGTGTGATGCACTCATGCTGTTTGGTGGCTGAAGGGACCCACACAAACAATAATAAAACTTGTTTTTTAATTTTTTTCTGGACCTCCTCAAACCAGTTTTTATTTCTCTCCTTTTGTGTTTGGCAGTGTCCCTTTACACAGAGAAAGACAGTGTTAAAATAAAGAGGACTATCACAATCTTGTTGTACTGGCCAAAGCTGTATTGTATATGCCACACACGTTTTTCAACAAATTGATTGGGGAGATCATTACATTGCTTGACTGACTGTATGTACACAACACATCTGTTTAATATAATAAAATAATAGAAGTCGAAGTAGAGAGTCGTTTAATGCTGACAGTGCAATTAACATCTTGCCAGCTTGGCTTCTGATATGATTTTCCCCCTGATGTTGTTTGTAACTCTAAATCTTGATACACGAAAGCCCATGGAATGTAAAGGAAGGCATTATAATTCATGGACTGTACAGATGCAGGTTTCTTGCTCACATGTGGAGATATAATTCTCAGAAGATTCTTTAATGTTGTGGGAAAAAACTGTTTTGATGGACATGAAGTTTCAATGTATAGCATTCATTCAAAATATGGATATATGTTCACATAATAATTTGTTTGCAGAAGATAGTAAAAGTGAACACACAGTACGAAACACATTAGATCTTGTTAGATCATATGTGGAAAGTAGAATAGTATCAGCAAATATTGAATTTTTGTACCATAAACCACTGACTGATTGCTCTGTCTGCCCTATTTTATAGGTGACTTTAATTGTTGTTACAAAAACTAGGATTATTAATGCATTATTGTCCCTTCTTTGAACTCTTTCTATACACACAAATTATTAACTTGAATAATTTAGAAATCTTAAGACATTTGTATTTTCTGTCATGCAGCATTACATACAGTAGTTCCTTTTAATTTTTTATGAGGTAAACAGGGTACCATATTTATAGACTGACCATTCTGAGACAGAAGAGCAGTGCTTCCCTTTTTCATGATTTTGTTCCAGGTAATTACAGTATGTTTAGAAAATCCAGTAACAAAATTTACATAACATAATGTAATGTTGCTGTATTTTAGCTATAATGATATGTATATTTTTTAAATCTTCTATTTGTTCTGAATTGTGTCTTTTCTTGATTGAGACGCCTAACAGCAGTCAAAGTCTTTCTGTGTAGACTTGATCATTTGTATATGAAATACCAAACTGCCAGAGGGTTGGCTATGAAACCTAAACAGGTGGTCAAGAGAGACAGTTAACATGGTATTGTGATGTGTATTCCTTCTGTTCTATAGTTATGCAATTATTTTCTGCTTATTTGTTATAGTGTAATTTTATAGTGTAATTTAAGTCTTATTCACATGGTGCAAACTAGCAATGTGTAGTAATTTAGCAAGATTAATTTTGAGCTTTGCTCAAAGTTTATTACTCCTGTAAATACTCAATGTATTTTTTTGTCTACACAGATTTATATATTTGACAAATAATTTAGATAAATATAATTATAGATATTTCCTGTGATATTTCAGCAGAGGAAGAGTTTTTGTCTCTTTCACTTGCACTTTTCACACATATAAAATCAGATGTTATTTATGAAAATTGCTAAAAGGATAAACATTATGTCTATGAAAAAAGTACTAAGAATATTATCAGACCTATGTAAATCTAAACAAATGGCAATCTAGAATTTAATGAAATCACTGTACACTCAAATTTCATACAGTTTGATTCACAGATGTTGAAAACAGGATTTCTGACCTGCTGTTATTTAAACTGTTTCAGGTACGTCTGTTGTGCAGGTCACAGCGACTGATGCTGATGATCCTACTTATGGGAACAGTGCAAGAGTTGTCTACAGTATTCTACAGGGGCAACCGTACTTCTCTGTTGAGCCAGAAACAGGTAAGTCAGTTTCTAGTTAAAACTTTCTCTTTTCTGCTCAATATTAATAAAAACAACTAATGGTGAAACAACTACTATGACGGTCGTGTTTACAAGGAGGAGTAGTATATTTAACTATTCCAGCCAAATCATAAGTAATTACTTTATGCACAAAATCACAGTTTATCTGTTTTTTAGCAAAAGTAAAAAATCATTAAAGATTTTTACATATCACTGCATTTCTTGGGATTCTTATGAACTATCTTCAGCGAGATTACATCCATATTACATGTGCCATTCATGCATGCATTGTGATACTCTGAAATAGAAATTGCAACCAATTGAGGTTGAATTTCCTGATATTAAAACGTTTTCTGAAACCGTGTTTACTTTTAGAAATGCACAAATATGAAGAATTTAAGTATCGGTTCACATACAATGGTCATGGCCATCTGAAGCTTTCTGTATCATTTCTTTCAGTGTTTCTTGCTAAGTATTTGTTTGACATAAAATGAAATGATTTCTTATCCCATCATTCAGTTGAATCTCAAAAGCAACAATGCGATTAAATTTCATGAATTTATTTCAAGACGTGTCTTGACTGTTTTCTTTATTTTACTGAAATTCATTCATCAACATCCTGGTGTTTATCAAATTTAATGATAATTCAAACACCTAGGCTTTAAGTTTGGAGGCTGATGTTAAAGTAACGAGTACTCATTGCATACTTGATGGTTGCAATATAAACATATACTGTATATTTTAATAGACAAGGTGGTTTTCTCCATGTGTTCTAGTTTCCTCCCACCAAAGACAGACAAGTTAGGATTGATTGGTTCTTTTAAATTGTCCATTTTTCCCTTGCCCAGCATCACACTGTGTCCTACTGAGTGTAAGGGCAGTGCTGAGCTCTCACCTTATGCTTTATGTTTCTGGGTTAGGCTCACAGCTTATGGCATTTTCAACCAGAAAACGCAGCTTTCTGATAGTGGATGGACGGATGCCATTAAATCACTCCAGCATACTATTAGTAAATGAATCAAATACAAATCGATTTGTCACATTCAGTAGTTCAGACAGTATATGGCCGTAGACTGATCATCTCACAAGCTAAGCAAGCCTAGACATGGCCTGTACTGGGAGACTTCCAAGTGATTCCAGGCTGCTGCTGCATGGTGTTGGCAGACCAATTGGTGGTGCTATACCCCCTGAACAAGAATTTCCAAATCGATGCACTCTATGATGACAGGGAACACTATGCTATAGGATGTACTTGGTCATTTAAGTTTCAATGGCACTTTGCAAAAGATAAGGGTTGTTAACCCCAGTGCCCTGGCTAAATTCCACTGTGTTATTCCAAATCTGGATTTTCTGAAGCATCCCCTTACTTTAATTGGTGAGATCTCACTTGTTTCCTGAATTGATGTATAATTGTCTCTGCTTCGCAACAGGGTGGGTGCTGCATTTAATTAATGGATAAAGCAGGACCCTCCCTGTGTTAAGTGTTTTGAGATCTTTCGGGATTAACTGAGCTAAATGAATGCAAGAAGATATTTCATAAGGCCTTGTGAGAGAAGTTATCTTCTTTCACTGAAACTTGATCTAATGCTGTTGCTGGGAATCTCTCTGAAACTTTGAGCTGTTTCTTTTTTTTTGCCAGGATATGTTTTGAAATATCCAAATGTTCTGTATATATGCCTGTAAGCATAACTAATATCTATCTAACCACATAGAATATAGGCAGATGTTGATGTATGCTCTGCTTTTCATTCACAAAATCAAAAACTCTACACTGCCTTTTATAGGCATTATCAGAACAGCACTTCCCAACATGAACCGAGAGAACCGGGAGAATTACCATGTGGTGATCCAGGCCAAGGACATGGCAGGACAGATGGGTGGATTATCAGGGACGACAACAGTCAACATCACCCTCACTGATGTGAATGACAATCCACCCAGATTTACTCACAGTAAGCTTGTGTTTTCAAAGTCACTTTCAACCCATCACAATAATAAAAAAGCAGGACCTTACCCTTCATCTGGTTTCAAATTTCAAAATAAAGATGGATTATTAAAGGAATGGCAGAGCAAGTGCTCAGGGATGAGCTACTACAGTGCTCTCCATCTCTTGAAGGTATGGAATAATTAAATGCAGAGCCATATGATGGAACTGTATGTCCCATAAAGTGCATCAGATCAGTCTGGTAATCCCTATTAAATGAAAAGAATAGACTCTTAGAGTTTTAGCTCTCTCATTCTCTCACTCGCACTATATGTATTATAAAGCTGCTTTGTCTAACCCTGTGTGGTTATGTGTGTATTACACCCAGATATTGCTCCTAAGACAAATTGCAAAGGGTGCTAAGTAAGACTGACAGCAAGCTCATATCATTATTCTCTTCATCTTTAGCAGTAGAGGGAAAGATGGAAGAACACTTTAAGTGGTCTCTCTACACAGTTTTGCAGAGACATTCATAGAAAATTTCAGACTTAAAATGTTATCCCTCTGTTGCAAAAACTGCCACCAAATGTGTCAGAAAGGATGCTAGCTGTGAATAATTAACCACTCTTACAAAGCTTTTGATATGAGATCATCTGTGGGCTAGAGGGACCATCTATGCAAAAAGTAATTCACTCCTATTTCTTATTAAACACTTGTTAACCTGGGATCACATTAATGCATTGCACATAACTGCATAGACAGTAGCATTTCAGCAGCTGATGGTGTTGTCTCCGTGAAAGGAAAGGAGCAGGTGTTATTCTGGCATCTGACTTTGCTTGAATATATTTCCTGCTCTAGATACCTATCAGTTCGGTGTTCCAGAATCTACCGAGGCAGGATCACCTGTGGGGAGGATAAAGGCAGATGATGCTGATGTTGGCAGAAATGCTGAAGTTGACTATACTATCATTAATGGGGATGGACTGGACATGTTTGATATCACTACAGATATGAACACACAAGAAGGAGTGATCACAGTGAAAAGGGTAATTCTGATTTCCTGATTTTCAAAAGCACACTCAAAAGGTCAAAGATGCAATGTAATGTGAATGTCCATTACAGAGAGCAGGATGAATGTTTCTACAAATATAGACATTACCCGACATCCATAATTACTTTTAATAATCAAATTCAGAGATACTTGCAGCATGATTAAGTATGTGCCACTAATATAAGCAGTTTTCTTTTTCATGTATTAAGGTGTCAGGCTATCAAGTTAATGTTAGTGTATTTTTATAACTTATGTTTATTTATAAACACAATTTATTTAATAAACATTATATTTTAATACTTTAATTGGATTAAAAACAAAACTATAATGTACTTTATCTTTATAACAAAATCACATATCCATAATTCACAAGATAATATCAAAAACATCTTAACTTCATGCATTAAAACCAAAAACAATAAACTGCTAAACACCTATGTACAGTGTATTTCAAAGCATGATTTTCAAACCACAAGAAGCCGGAAGGAAAGTTAGAAAGACGTATTACCATCTAATGTATACTTTGCTATGGGTGGATCAATACCTTTCAAGATACAGTAGAAACAGAAATAATTGCTTTTGCAGTTGTTAATCAATCTTGACATTCCCTGCATCTCTGGGACTCCATTATTCAATTTGATTGCAGGTATCAAAGTCTTTGTAACACCATACTGGTTCTTCGTTCTTCTCACTGTATCTTCTAATTAAATGTTCTCATCTTTTAAGAGGAGATGTCATTTTTTAAAATCCCTGATCTAAAACAATGCATCACTTTGTTGCATTCCCATGGGTTTTAGTATGTTTAAGCAAAGAAATCCTTTACAAAAAAATATAAACAGCTGAAAAAGCCTGGAAAAAAGTTAACAATTGTGAACAAAATACTGAAGCAAATGAACTAATTCCTACAGCATAGCTGTGACCATTTAAGTCCTGACACTGGACTAGTGCTGTCACTAAGTCATCTAATTAAATGTTTCATCTTTTAAAATGACAATTCATTTTTTACTTACGCTAGCCAGTGTATATCAATGTATATCAAATGCATCAGGATTGGGTTTATCATATTAGAGCAATTAAATTCCAGTTTTTTTAAATAGCCTTGAAATAGTTTAAGTGTTTAAACAAATACTGACAAAAACAAAAAACTGTGTACAATCCTAAAGAAAGACTGTTTTTCTGACTATTGTTAGAGTAGTCTTAATTAAGATGTTGAAGACAAGAATACCATAATTTTCATTGTTTCTTACTATTTTGTTATTTTTGGTGAAATATTCAAAATGTATAATATTTCTAAGGGTGATCCCTTGCCCCTGCAAACTCTATAGAATTATTGGCATAAAGATGCATACTATCTTTCCTCTCTCTCCATATTCTTTCTGTTATCTGTCATTCAGATGATCTCAGTCAAAATGTGCCAGTCTTTAGTCACTTGTGCACATCGCACATCTAACATTTCAGTCATTCTTTTAACAGTGATTATCTCATACTAGATAGGAGGTATTGCCCTTTTTTAAAAGATATGCAGAAATCAATCCAAAAAATGAAGATATGCCTGATAAAGATATTTTTGTCTGTTTTGTGTTCCATCTGTTCTTTAGCCTTTGGACTATGAGAAGAAGAAGATATACACACTGAAAGTGCAGGCAGAGAACACCCACCTAGATCCAAGATTTCTGTCACAAGGTCCCTTCAAAGACACCGCTACTGTAAAAATCACTGTTGAAGATGTTGACGAGCCACCAAATTTTGAAAGGGCAAGTTACATCATGGATGTTAAGGAAGATGCGGTAAATGGCACTGTCATTGGATCTGTTAGCGCTGAAGACCCAGACATTACCAGTAGTGCCATTAGGTAAGACAGAGAAAAAGATGAAGTAGTTCTTAGTAATACAGTAGTATGAAATAAAGCATTGAAAATAGTTGTTATAGCGGAGATCCACATTTTATAACATATAGTTTGTAAGTGACAGTAGCTTGTTGCCTTGTCTAGCTCAATGTGGATGCTGGAAGCTAATTGACCATTCATCCATTTTATATGTTCAGATTGTGAAATGCTGAATTGCTGTGTTGAAATAATTTGTATGAATGTTACCCTGCTGCAAATGGCCTTGACCTGACGGTTGTTAAGTGGCATACAAAACTTACATGTCAGAGGTTTTTTTTCTGATATTTGCTTTGGTTATCCAGTGTCCTGCAATAATATGTTATCTTAAAGGAAATATTTAAATATATTTATTTGAAAATGTCTTTGAATCTGTAATCCTTCCAAGGATATACTGCAGTATAAGGGGCAAAATATTCACATGGCAAATTTCTACCAGATGTGATGACAGACAAAAAAGTCTCAAATCCTTCTAGAAACAATGTGAAGAGTGCTTAAGTCTTATTTTTTAGCAGTTTTAAATTAAATTTCAGTAAATAAAATATAACAAACACAGGGCCTGAATTTTTTTGATAGCCAGTATCCCTCCTTGTGTACGCATATTTTCTAAAAGACTGATGATTAAAGACAGTGTTCATTAGTGAGAACAAAACCCAGGGGTATACTTCAAAAAGGAGCTCAACAATGTGATTAGAAACAACAGGTTTGGACCTACACAATTATCGTAAATGTGATAAAGATAGCAAGCTATTTTAAAATGCTGGATATTATTAATTTTGTAACTGTTTCATTGCACAAAAGGTAGACTCCTGAAGAAAAATGTGTTCTTAAATGGTACTGCAGTGGTCCTGTGAGACTTCATGTATCTGAGATACAGTTTCCTGGGGTTGGGATTTCTACAGCAGTCCCAGCTGACTTTCTACAGGCCCTGCATTCATTAATCAGACTGAAATATTACACTCACCAGGAAAAACTGTGTAAACCTATGTTGCCTTTGTGCTTTGAAACAATGAAGTGTGCTACAGCTGCACAAAGTTTATAATCATAAATGGAAGGCTAGCAGCCAGTGACCAAGTAAAGGACTCAAGGGTATAAACATTAATTAGCAGTGACAAAAAATATAAAGAATCTAACTGCATCTTTTTCTTGCAGCACATTAGTTATTTCAAGTAGTTTGGGGATGTAAAAACAATTTAAAAAATTGATTCTGTTGGTGCAGAGCGTAACAGAGTAATTCAGAATAATCAAATACAGCACAACTGGGATTGCATTGTTTGTCAATGCCAACTCATTTTGGCTGTCTGTCAGATTTAGTGCTTTTGAAACCATAGTTGGCAATAAAACTAATTCATGTTATAGTCTTTCAATATTTTTAAGGTCTTCTGTTTGAATTTATTCATTTCAAAGTACCTCTACCACAGTGAAGACCAAATGATTTTTATAAATGAGGATAAATAAAACAAAACAATCCAATGAAGCATGCTCCTGAATTGTGTAGGTGAAAAAAGAAACAGAAAAAAGGAGAAACAAAATTCTCTAAAACATGATCTGTCTCACCTGCCAAACCTTTGTATAATTACCTGGAGAAAAGCATTAGACAGATGACTCCCTGAAGGGAAAATATTGGCGTAAGCACAGCCGCTTAGTGCTCAAGTGTATGGGAACTAGGGGAAATTTTTGTTTCATCGATGGTTTACTTGCAGAGTTCCCCCCTGAACAACTGCAAATACAATAAGATGAATTACAGTGCAACACATAAAAAGTAATAAAGTATAATTAAAATGGAACTTCATTCCTTGAATCCTGAAAGGTCGGAACATGCAGTACAGAGAGCAGTGAAATGGAGCGCACACACACAAATGTGAAAAAATATGAAACCAAACACCTACCGTACAGTATTTGGGTAGAGAGACACATGAAGCGTGATGAAGGCTAGAAGACAACACAGAAAGAAACACAAACTTTCTGTTGGCAGATCTGTGTATGATCAAGGCCTCCCTCATGGTTGGGAAGATATGGAACCTATTGTATGAGCAAGTTCCACAGTTAATGAGGGAAACCTGTGTAAAATATAATTAATTTAGGATTTAGGATTCTTGTTTCAAAATATTCATCTATATTATAAAGGCATATATATATGTATATTTCTAACACCCTTTTAATTCCATGGGATTACAAACATTTTTTTTCCAAACAAAGGCAAAAACAACACAAAAGTATTTTATTAAATTTCTAAGATTCCCAACAGAAAACCTTAAAATACAAGAGTCTAAGATGTGCAAGAAATTGTTGAAACATGTAATTGTAAATCAGATCCTTTAACAGAATGGCTATTTGCAAAACAAAGGGAACTGACACACTGGAACTGTAAGGAAGATGCTGTAAAGAAAAGTGAAAATCTTTTATTTGAGACATTCATGTGCCCATTTCATAAAATATATAAATTCATTTTGAAGGCTGTATGAGGCATGAGTTGCTTCATTTATTCTAGTCATTTTTTCGCTCTGAACTGAAAAAAATAATTTTATCTGAATTGATCTTCAGGTATTCCATTGATCGTCACACAGACTTGGAAAGATTATTTAACATCCATCCTGGGAATGGATCAATCTTTACTCTCAGGCCTCTTGACCGGGAGGAATTTGCATGGCATAACATTTCAGTGATTGCAACAGAGTTCAGTAAGTAACTTTCAAATACTTTTATAGAATGTGTGGAGGAACTATTTATTAGAGTGTTTAGTAAACTACTGTGAAATAAAAGGATAATGAACTTATCAATCAAACGATCTTCTTCTAAAAAGGTTTTCAGTACTGATGAGACCCTGTAAGACACTAATTACCATTGCACTATATGCACAAGATAAATTGTGGTCACTCTCAATTTTAATAAAATTAATTTCATTATATATAATGCCATCAAATTAGGAATCGGCCTTTATTTTCTTAAAGACTCTGATGTCCAGTAATGAATGCTGTATCCACTAAGGAAGGAAAGAGACACATGATCATGCTCATCTGTAGAGCTATTTATCATTGGACCTGTTGCAGGGAGCTTGACAAACTCCATAGATCTTGAGAGTTATGGCTTGCCAAAAATGGGACACTACTCACCAAGTGAGGATGTGAAGCGATGGGGTAAAATGAACTGATCCTGGAGGTTTTGATTAGTAACTGTCACACTAGATGAGGCGCTGCAAGCAATGTTGTTGCAATACCAGTATAATGCTGATAACTGATTCCCATTTCTGTGATATCTTGGCATGGCAAGGAATTGTCCAGTTAGAGCAGCCAGACCAACCCTTTGGAGAGTAATAATATTTTTGTTAATATTAGTGATGGAACATACAGAATTTATTGTTTTATCAACCAGCCCTAATGCCAGAGTGCAGAAATCTGGTATTGATCTTGGCTAGTTAGGATACCAAAAAAATTGAAAACTTTAAAATACCAGGAAGCAAAAATATTTTTGAGAGAAAACATAATATACTGAGCATCGATAACTTTAGGACTTATAATTATAAAGGCTTATTGGTTTATTATCAGGACAATTACAAAATCAGTCTTTTTTAGAGTAGGTGCACCAACATTTCACTGCAGAAATAACATAAGTAAATGTGTTGTGCTGAGTAACGTTTGTTATGGGCAGGATTATTCAACCAAGGGTTTAGTGTGAACGTTAGAGGCTAGTAGTACAGTATCTGTTGCAATTGCAGAAACCAGTGGCAGCTTTCTGTACATCTGTGATGCATGATTCACACCAGTCTGCAGATGCTGCCTAGTGGGATTCTTTACTACTGCCCTCGTAGAACCTGGAAAAGCATGTGCCTTTGTGTTGGTTCCTTAAATATTCAATTGAGTTCAAGTCTGGATGGTTCGTCTACGGCATGCCAGCAAATCATAATTGGAAAAATGAACAAAATACGTACCATCGTTACCGATATTATGAAGTCTATGTTCCTTACTTAATCCGTGAGGCTTACTGCATGCAAAACCAGCCTTCGGTACTGTTAAAGGTGATTGATGTCTGTGAATTGAACTGCAGCCGATGTATTCTGCTACTTTCTTAACAGGCAACCCCAAACAGGTCAGCCGAGTTCCCGTTTTCATCAGGGTGCTGGATATCAATGACAATGCCCCAACGCTTGCCACTTACTATGAGACATTTGTCTGTGAAAATGCGAAGGCTAACCAGGTAATGGGGAAACAAAAATCAAGAGCAACATACTAAGAATCGCTAAATAAATTTTGAATGTCTAATAATATACGGCTTGACAAAGAGTTAATTTAAGCTTGTTTTATTAATTTTTTCTTAATTCCCATTTGAAGCAGATGGCAGGCTTTGCAGCTTCTCCATATTTTTACATACAGCAGTAAACTGTATAGTTCTTGTGGATGCACGCCACAGATAATATTAATTTAAGTGACTTCCCTCAAACATATGGCATGTTTCTGTAATTATGAGGAAAGAAAACATTTGCCTTATCATCAAGAAATTCAAGAACATCAATAACTCTTTCTCACCCCAAAAAATTAAGAATACAGCCTATGGTATCTGACTTTACTTCATGAAACCAACAACCTTGGAAGCATCCTTCTTAAATTAGCTCTAAAACTTAGCTATGAATAATGCGAAAGTCAAACTAAAATGAGAATGACATGCCTCTTAAAAATAAATATTTCTGAATGACTAACAGTGACTGCAACTGGAGGATTTTATTAATAGAACCTTACAGTATTCGGTTGGACATTTTTTTTTCCTGAAAAAATAACTTCAGCTCCACAAGAGGAGAGGATCTGTCAGTACAGATGCAATCTGTTGTCTGATGGCTGTTGCACTTTGCAAGTCTCTTTGGTTATTTCTTTTCATTTCCTTCTGTCTTCCCTTGTTTCAAGGTGAAAACTTTCTGTGTTAGCAAGGTCTTCCCAGCTCTTGCTATTTTCAATTAGGGTTGCCACCTGATGCCTTTATTCCTGAACACTGTGAGTTAGGAAAGGGTCCTTACCACATTGTAATTGAAAGCAATGCCGTAAGATATTGTATGTCAATACCTAAAGCTGAACACAAATACTTTAATTTAGTTAGCTAAAGCACCAGGCATTAGCTTTCCTTAAAACAATCAATCACATGTCATCCATAGCCTTGGTAGACTCTGAAGACTTGGTAGACTCTAGAGCCTTTGGAAAAATGTTTAGTGAAAAGAATGTTAATAATCCATACTAATACATTGTTCATGTAGGATATGCATTTTCAGCAATATTTCTGAATAGGAGAGATTCTTAAGTACATTGTTTTATGTTTTTCCATGTGACATGTTGCTTAGAATTCCAAGGTGTTTATCAAATAAAAAATGTAGTGGTTTGAAAATGATGTTTTTATACTTAAGGGATTGTAATTACATATAGAATTTTTAGAGATAAAATTTAACAACTGTTTATTATATTGATAACTATTACATATTATATAATATTACATATTATATTGATTTCGATTGTATACCTTAAGGCCACATGAAAAATTCTGCTTAGAATTTTTTTCCAGTCAAAAAAGTCTCATGAAGTTAATAATTTGTAATTTAGAGAAATTCTTGGCAATCCATTGCTAACCATTATTGATGGAAAATGTGGCCAACCATAATTACTAGGTATAAAACCATTTTTCAGCAGTAGCAGAGGCAGGTCGTTGTCTGCTGCACTCTGTCACTGCAGTAGTTTTAGTGTTAAACTACAGTGAAGAAATTCTTGATACCTCTTCCCGAACAAGTGTGATGTCCTGTAGATGATTCATTCATAATGCACTTCTTTCGAATTATTTAAGATTCCTGAATCTTTGAATTTCAGGGGTTCATATATCTTCAAGGATTTCAAAAGATCATTTTAATAATTTCAAGTGAAATGTGCGTATGTTGTTTTAATTACTGAGTTACAAACAAGTTTGAAGAATTGTTCATTTGTGATCTGTAGGTTACAAACATGACAGCTTTTTAACTAAATGGTGCTTCTGTAAAGATTATTGCTTAGAATGGTTTTAACGTTTAGAATTGTTAGAACGTTTTGCTTCTATGAATGACATTAGACAATTATTATTTGTAGTAAATAACTCTAAAATGTAAAATTTGAAAGCACAAATGCACAAATATGGGAAAAGTAACAACAGAGAATAAATATTTGCTACAAAAGCAAGTGAAAACCCAGTTGTTTCAATTGTTTCAACCTTTCTTCACTGTTCTATAAATGTCAGTAACAACTGGAATGGAAGTGCCGTTAATTTTACCCTGCCTAAAACTAATCCCATTCACATCACTGCATGGTATGACAGAAATGCCATGTAAGATCTTGTAAATGAAAAAGAAAAAATGTTGAAGTATGCTTCCAAAAATATGTCTATCATGAGTAAAAAAATAGATCAAACTTTCATGAAATCTTGTTTCCTTTTTACAGCGGATACAAACAGTGAGTGCAGTAGATGCTGATGACCCTACTGGTGGGCACAAATTTTTCTTCAGCTTATCACCAGAAGCCTCTGTCAATGCAAACTTCACAGTCCGAGATAACAGAGGTAAGCAGCAGTCCACAAAGCACTGTCTGAAGTTAACTAGCTCTTATCTGCTTACTCTGAACATTGCAAACTTTTTTTAGAAAAGAAAAAGAGCTCTTAGTCCTTTAACCACCTGTCATTTTACTAGTGACTTCACAGTAATGTAAGCATTTTTAACTTCAAATTAGCCTATTATTTTCCAACAGTTTCCATACAAGATATTGTGACATTTCCAAAACATAAACATTTAATGGGCGATTAAAAAGCAACAACGAAAAAGATGCATTCTGTTTAAAACGTACAGTTGCAAAGTCAGATGAGTAATTGCAGAACAACGCTCCATTCAGCATCTGTTCCTTTCTGCAACAAAACACAAATGCTAAGATTCTGACACCAGATACATGGAATTCAAAATCAAGTTCCAGCTGCAGTTGTTTCAGTCTAATGTCTTCATTAAAAAAAAAAAGAGTTTTGCAATAGACTAACAAAAGACATTTATGCCAAAATAAATGTTGTTGATTAGTTTATTTATTCTTTGATACAAAGAAGGCTACCTGGTCAAAGTAAAGTTTCAGAAGTCTATTCATAGAACTTTTGGGAAATGTTTTGGAAAGTCCTTAAACAGTGGTGACTGTATTAATGATAGTAGTGTTGATGTACACAACCATACAGTTATGAGTAACCCAAACCATCTGCAAAACATCATGTCAATTTATACTCTGGTAAAAATCAGTAAAAAAATCTCTGTTTTTAAAGTAATCTCATAATATTGCATTACTTCATTATCTTAATTCCACGAAACAAAGAGAAAGAATAACAAATCGAGAGTCAATCAAAAATCAAATGTTTTCACACTGAATGAATAGACTTTTAAAAACGAGAAATATCAAGTAAATGATCATGTGAGAATTAAGCGGTGACTTACAGAAAATGTCAAATTGTCATTTAATGCACTCTGGTGGTCATGACGTAAGACTGTACTTATTGTGATACCAATGTTAATTATTTGACTAAAAGTGTTTCTAATAACTGAATATACAGTGCCTTGCGAAAGTATTCGGCCCCCTTGAACTTTTCAACCTTTTGCCACATTTCAGGCTTCAAACATAAAGATAT